ATCTGATTCACCATCAAATTTATTATAGACTGGATTATCATCATAAACTGAATCTTCATCATAAGTTGGATAATCATCATAAATGGGATAATTATCAACAATCGGATAATCATCATAAATTGGATTATCATCATAGATCGGATCATCATCATAAACCGGATTATGATCATAGACTTCAAAGTCAGGAATGCTGATTTACATCTCGATATCTTGAAAAGTGGACTGATTTTCAGGTCGTACTTCCCAATTCTGTCACTGGTTTAGAATCTCCAAGGGATTGACGTCCGCTTCTTCGCCATCAGATGCATCATCTAATTTCATTCCTTCTTCGGATTGAATGCCCAACTTTGTCCACGCAAGTCGCCGCTCCAAATATTGAATTTTCATGCTTTGCGCCTCCACAAGAGTTTGCTTCAAAATTTGAATTTTCATGCATATCCGCACGAGTCGTCGCTCAAAATCTTGAATTCTCTCTCTCTGTGCCCGCACACATAGTCGCTTCAAAACATAGATTTTCTTGTCAACGCTTGCTCAAGTTGTTTCTTCAAACCTGGATTCGCCTTCCGAGCTCTTCATTTTCTATATCTCGCGGGTCAATTTGACGCAATTGTCTATATTCTTCAGGAACGAATCCACTTTCCCTACCCTCGTGACTCTGCCGTCGTCGACCTCCACGATTCTGTTCAGCCATTGGTGTAAGGCAACCTAGTGCTCTGATACCAAATGATGCTGAAAGCGCATAGAAAAGTGGCTAAACAGAAAGTAAGGATTTCATAAAAGAGTAACCCTCAGGTTCTCAATTTATAATTATCAAATAACAAAATTTAACTCCTAAAATAAGGGTCATAAGCACCCTTTTATAGACTAATTACAAATTGATTGAACACTAAATCTAAAATTCTAAAATTAATAAAATTTCCTAAAATAAATATAACATTAATTAACATCTATAAATAAATAAAAATTACAAATAAATAATTCAAAATACATCCCAAATCTTTAATCTCAAATCATGCCAAATATGTTGTTTTCCTTTTCTTCCCGAACAAATCACAATAACATCTGCTGCTTTATTGGACTGGAATTCGATTGTAATTTGTTATATTTCAAATCTTTGCCTTTTTCAATAATTGGGTCATTTTTATTGGGCCACAACTCTAGTCGACTTCGAGCTTCTTGAATCAATGGTTAGGCCATGTACAATGGGCCAACTGTAAGTGCATCACAAAGAGGTGGCATGACAAGAAGATAGCTCTAAAAGAATTCGAATCGGGACAACAAGTATTATTGCACAATTCTCGACTGAGATTGTTTTCAGGTAAACTCAAATCCCGCTGGTCAGGACCTTTTGTGGTTAAAAAGGTATACCCTTAGTGGTTAAAAAGGTATACCCTTATGGCACAGTAGAAATCTCACCTATAGACACATACAACCCTTTAAGGTTAATGGTTGTAGGTTGAAACTATACTATGGAGGACAGGTGAATAGGGATAAGATTTCTGTCCCTTTGGCTTCACTGAACCTTAGACTATTTGTGTCAGGCTCGTGATGTTAAACAAACGCTAGTTGGGAGACAACCCAATAATCATTTTTCTATTTTTATTTTAATTTATTTTAGTTTCAATTTTTAACAAGTGAGGTAAATGGTGAAAATAAGGACAACAAGTGAAAAACAAAATTATGGGACTGGCACTAGTAGCGCCACAAATTAAAAAGAGGCAGTACATCCGCGCTTAAGGAGCCAATATGGCGCTGACAGCTCCAGATACTTCATGATTACCCAGTCCGTGCCAACAGCGCGAATTTGCCAAAATTCACAGTGGCACTACGCTTACAGCGCGAGATCTGCGCTGTCAGCGCCAAAATTACACGAAATTTCTGCGCTGTAAGCGTGAGATTCGCGTTGTCAGCGCCAGAAAATTAAAATTCTCAAGTAGCTCTGCGCTAACAGCGCGAGATCCACACTGTCAGCGCCAGACTCAAAATTCATATTTTAAAATTTTAGAACCCTAATTTCCCCCATTCTTTTCTCTCTCGCGGCTAACCCCCTTTCTCTCCCTCTCTCACTCTCTCGCAGCGTTCCTCTTCTCTCCACCATCCTCAGCCCCACCACACCACAGAGAACCACCACTCCCCACCATGCAAGAGATACCCTTGAGTCGAGCAGATTACTGTGCACAATGAACTAATAACGGCGTTAGCCAAAGGTGTGTGTGTGCGCGCACAGTGACAGAATAACAGTAAGAGAGAGAGTAACGTACCTTTAGGGTTTACATTGTATTTATAGAGGTTACTTGTGGGTAGTACGGTGTGGGCCTTTGATAAGGGTTCAAGCCTGTTTGCTATGCTGTCGCATTAGGATTAGTATCCTTGATGGATACTATCCGTAATTATAATTGATTTAGATCTTGGATTGTCCATTATTGGGTCTGCCATTCAATTGGTCCCTTATGTGAGTCTATAACAATTATTAATTGATGTTTGAACTAAAGAAATATTATAGCAAAACAAGAAAGAAATTCGAGAAAAAAAATTAGGCATATAAACTCCAACCTTGCTTGCTTTGCTTTCATTCTATGAACTCCAAATTTGAAGCCTCAATGTGAAACCTAATTTGATGTGTGAACAAGGATGCAATAAAAACATATTACGTGTTTTACTCATACAACTAAATTAATAAGCGTGCAGGATCAGATCACACGACATTTTGAAAAATAAAACGCAAGACAAGGCATTAATTGGTGTTTGGCCTGCAAGAACTCACTCTCGTTTGCGACAGGTTTTGTATTTTTTTCCCTCCTTAATTGACTATATATGCAAAAGGTTAAAACGTTCTTAGGCCAATGGATTTATTAACAACTTAATTTGTGGAAGCAAAACGTTCTTGGTTTTGATGGATTCATTACCGATATAATTAGTGGGTTGAAGTCAAAAATTCTTACTAGACCCAGGAATCCAGGATATATGTACGTCACCTTAGTGAGTAATGTTGTGCTTTCATGCCTTTTGAAGAAGTAACTGCACCTCAGTAAAACCTAAAAACAATTATTTAAGGCAGCGAGCAGGCTAGCTGGGCAAATATTACAATCGCAAGGGACACAAATTTTTCGTTATTGGGAATCGTCCCTTTCAGTATTATACTGACATCGTACATCTTTTTGCAATTCTTAAATTTAACACTTTTATTTATTCGCGATACTCTTCTCGTGTAAAATGAGAATAATTTATTTTTCTGACACATAAAAGTAAAGTTTCTTTTGAATTTCTAACAAAAAAATATGATTATCACTTTTGTTTCTTATAAAAAATTATTTATTTTAGTCCTTTTTTAGAGACTATATTAAATTTTTGAGAGACCACATTTTCAAAGAATTAAAATTGTAGAGGGACTAGAAGTTAACTCTTTGTTGTTGTAAGAAACAAGTGGGAATCGTATTTTTTATTAGGGATCCAAAAGAAGTTTTACTTTACAATAAATTTGTGGGTCTCACATAATGTGTGTAGAAGAAGATATTTTTCTAATGTAATAGGAGAAATCTTTAACCCTTTATTTATATTAAAAGCAATATGAAACTTAACTTTATATTTATTTTCATTTTAAAAAAAAAACCACTTGAGCCTGTTAGCTGGGTGGTACTATGAATTGGAATTTTAGAAATGGGTAATGTTTGCGTTAAATTTCACGGGGGGGATTTTATATTTATTCGGAGGTGAATTGCGAATGTCTAGTTGAAGAGCTAGTAATTGTAATTATGAAATGAAGGTAGAGATGACTAGTAACAAAATGTGCAGCATCCTAGATCAACAGTTCGATGGTATGGAAATCAGGGATGTGTGTACACCTGGAGATTGTGAATGCTCTTTAGGGCTCAAGAATGCGATGTGCTAAAAAAAATCCCTTGTGGGACACTGTTACGATATATATAAGGCCCGTAGGGATGATTATGGTAATAGAAATTGGCCCTAGAGCAGTTATATCACAAGGGGTGATCATGGGTGAGAGAGTGGTGATACAAAATTATGGGTTGCAAACCCATATTCTGAGTTGATGGTTTCCTCGGGCGAAAGATCTAACCCGGAGTCGGATTCGCCCAGAGAGCACATGTTCCATCCAAGATTCTCCCTGGAATAATATTTATTTATTTTCATAAATTTCAATTATACTCTACCTATTTAATATTAATGGAGAGAGAAATAAATATAATATTTAAAACGGTTTAATACTTTTCTTGAAAATAGAAAATAATTTTATCACACATGAAAAATTTTCTTTTTATCTTCTCTTTATAAGTTCAACCCAAACTGTACGGCATGAAAGAGCAAAGGAGGAGCAGAGGAGATGGATGAGCAATGCATAAGCATATAAAAAAATTTGACTTTATATATGTCAACCTTTCATTCCCAGACTCAAGCAATGGGAACACAAAGTCATTTTTTAAAAAGTAAAAGGAAGCACGTATTTTAATTAAGGAATTAATATTTCTCATATTATATGAAATAAAATTTTTTTTTACACAGATAAAAGTGTGTAGGAGTCCATATAAAATTTTATGAAAAAAAGAGAAAAAAAAAACATAAATCTTGTACACTTTTATGTGTGTATGAAAAATAAAATTATTTCCTATAATATGAAAAACAATAATCACTTTAATTCAACGAGATCAAAACCAGGCTTCAATTGAAATCCTCTATTTATACGCATACCCATCCTCACTCACACTCACACGCACAAGGCACTAATTACTTTCTTCTATCTATCAACTATTTTGTCACTTTGAGAGTTTTTGGCTATCCCCATTTTGTTTCTAAAGAACAATCCACCTTACCATAAACAGAGTGCTCTGTACGAGAGTATCTCTTCAGTAACCAACCATATATTCAACACAATATCTCATACCTTTGAAAAAAAACCTTCGTCAACCTTACTCATCCCTGTATTATTATTCACATTCAAATACTCATTCATTCAACATATATAGTTAAACCGTAACAAGACTAACATGTGCGAATCAAAGGGAACAAAAAGAGAGGCAACAACAACGACGTTGCAAACCAATGATAATAACAACGATCTCTTCATTGACCCTGAAAAGCAAACACAGTTGTTGGTGACAACAACAACAACAATCTCAGAGGTGATAACAGAAGTGAAATCCCTCATGGTTCTGTCCTTCCCAATAGTCATAACAGCTCTCATTTTCTACACACGTTCAATGGTGTCGATGCTCTTCCTTGGCCACCTTGGTGAGGTTGAACTAGCAGCGGGTTCATTAGCCATAGCCTTCGCAAACATAACAGGCTATTCAGTTCTCTCAGGACTATCCTTAGGAATGGAACCACTATGCTCACAAGCCTTCGGAGCAAACCGTCCAAAGCTTCTCTCTATAACACTTCATCGTTGTGTTATCTTCCTCTTAACATGTTCCATCCCCATTTCATTGTTGTGGCTAAACATGTCCAAAATCTTCATTTTCTTGCACCAAGAACCAAACATCACACGTATGTCACAAACTTACCTTATTTTCGTACTCCCCGACCTCGTCACCAACTCATTCCTCCACCCAATCCGTGTCTACCTTCGCGCACAAGGCGTCACCCACCCAGTCACGTTAGCATCCCTTGCAGGAACACTACTCCACCTGCCGTTTAATTTTTTCTTAATCAAACACGGTGTCGCCGGCATCGCCGCCGCCTCCGCCGCCTCCAACTTCTCCATTCTGATTTTCTTGGTGCTCTATGTCTGGATAAGTGGGGTCCACCTTGCCACGTGGACCGAGCCGAGCCGTGAATGCTTCAATGGTTGGAAGCCGCTACTTCGGCTCGCCGCGCCGAGCTGTGTTTCCGTTTGCTTGGAGTGGTGGTGGTACGAGATCATGATTGTGCTTTGTGGGATTCTCGTGGACCCCACTGCCACCGTGGCAGCCATGGGTGTACTCATCCAAACGACATCGTTGATCTACGTTTTTCCATCGTCGCTAGGGCTCGCCGTGTCGACGCGCGTCGGGAACGAGCTCGGCGCGAACCGGCCTTCACGGGCAAGGCTGTCGGCATTGGTGGCGATGTTCCTCGCCACCGTGATGGGATTCTCCGCGATGGTTTTTGCGTCAGCGATGAGGAACCTGTGGGGGAGGATGTTCACCGGAGAGGAGGAGATTTTGCGGCTGACGGCGGCGGCTCTGCCGATTCTCGGACTTTGCGAGCTCGGGAACTGCCCGCAGACGGTGGGATGCGGCGTCGTTAGGGGGACGGCGCGGCCGAACGTGGCAGCAAACGTGAACCTGAGCGCATTCTATCTGGTGGGAATGCCTGTGGCGGTTGGGCTTGGGTTTTGGTTTGAGGTTGGGTTCTGTGGGCTTTGGCTGGGCCTGTTGTCGGCCCAGGTTTGTTGCGCTGGGCTGATGTTGTATGTGATTAGGACAACCGATTGGGAGCACCAAGCCTCACGGGCTGGGTTACTAATGTCCGTTGATGATGCGGGGAACAGATCGGACGGCCAGAAAGAACTGTTGATTAGCGTTGGTGACACTTGATGACGATGTGTAATATTCTGAATTTTTGTTTTGTAATTTTTTTTATAGGGTTTAATGTTTGTCTTTTTAAAGGACACATAATTGTGTCATTTGAGTCAAAACTACAGTGTTTTATGGTGAGAGAAAAAATTACACAATAAAAATTATAGTTGGAGAAAGTGTGAGGGATTTTTTTTTTAATTTTAATATCAAATAAAAAGTAGTCATTTTAACTGAAATAAATATCTTTTAAAACGAAAAATATTTTTAGTTTGTTATTTTAAAGAAAATGTGTGAATTACCATAATTTTTTTAAAGGGATGCATGTCTTAGCCAAACCGAATGCAGCCAGCAGGGATTTGAAATGCAACTCCAGGTTTCTATTATTATTTTTTTAAATGTAAGAATGCGAGAAGAGTCAATCTTGACTATTTGATGTTCAAAATCAATCTTAACATGGTTATATGGTCACACTTTTACTTTTATGCTAATATTTTTTTTAGTATGAAAGAAATTTTATTAGTATTACATACTATAGGTAATTGGTGCAAAATTTAGTCTTATATTATATTCAGTTGTATTGACTACGTATTGAGCATTTTTATGTGATTAAGATTATTGTTGAGGCTTAAAATTTGACTCAGTTACCTCAAATTTCTTAATTTATGGATAGTTGAAAATAATAATTGTTATGGACCAGTCAAATGACTTCACCTGGCTATCTTTAATAGATCCTCGCAAGCCCCAATCACTTAGCACATATAATCTTTTTCGCCTCAGGGTCACGCAACCATACATAATGAGTGAGACCCACAGGGTTGAAACGGTTATAGTATTACATTTCTGAGGAAATATTATCCATACTATAAATAAAGGGCCTTAATTCAGGAGAAGAGGATCTTCTGTTATTAGCTAAGTTCGTCGTTGCTCTACTCATTTGTTTTCTTAGCCAAAACCGTGCCCAATATATCTCCCCGATTGATTCTCTTCTCATGTGAAGCCATTACGGTGATCCACATGAGCTCTATTCATATCACTACCTCTTTGGTCGTCATTATTTTGAATAAAACACTACTTCAATTCAAAATTTTAAGGTATTGAATGAGAATTTTTTTAATAATTGATATTATTCTCTAACAGTTATATCAACATATATACTTCACCATTTTGAAATACATGTTGGGTATGGTTCATATTTCGTATGCTGATGATGGCCTTGTTGTTGGGGTCAGCAGAAAGACAATTGGGGTTCTGCTCCCAGGCGAGCGGGCGGGGCCCCAGGCCGTAAATGCTAGGTACTGTTGTAGGCCTCTGGTCTATTGTAATTTTTCCTTTTCTTAGTACTTTGAGCTTTGGCTCATGAATAGCTGTTGTTAAGGTTTTTCTAATCCTATTTATATTCTCCTTGTAAATCGAGTGACTTGTAACAAGTAGCGGTGAGGTAAATATAATACAGACAAGTTGGACGTAGTCTAAATTGGATGAATCGGGATAAATTACCATGTCAATCTCTGTTCTCTTTTCTCTTTTGTCAATTTTATGTGATTGCCGATTTTCAACAATTCAGACCCTCATTTTCTTTTTGTAACAAGTTCAGTATATAACCTTCTAAAGTTATAAGATTCATCTAAACTATGGGATATGTTATTCTACCTACCATTTTTTTGACTACCTTTGTCTACAACTCTACATATCATTAGATCAGAATTTTAACTAACATTTATCTTTTTCTCTCTTCTTGAGATTATGATCTAACGGTGTTAGAGGATGGTAGGCAAAAGTAGACAGAAAAAATGATAGGTAGAATAACTCATCCCCTAAACTATTTTATTTCTCTTTATTATTTGATAACTGAGAAAATTGTTCGACCTTTATCTTGTTAATATTGAGAGCGTTTTTTGAGCCCCCACCACCTCTGACCAATGTGTTAATACCAAAAACATATTGACACCAACAGAAGAGAGAGCAGAGAAAATTTTAAAAAACAGTAAAAAAAAGGAAACATGCATGGTTCTGGAGGAGCTGCATGTTAACCTTTCATCTTATCTTTTGGCAGCGAGAAGGACGCATAGCGAGTAGCGACACCTGCACTGTCACCTGCACTGAGGTACTTTAGGAAGCTATTGGCTTATTCGGAATCAAGATATTTTTTTAACTTGACATATACGGCTAGTAATCTCTTCGATGATTAGCTAGCTATATGGAAATTAGAACCGATATGAATGTCATGGAGGGTAGTTTTTGCGTAATTGTATCAAAGAAAGCACATAAAAATATAAAGAATAAGCTATCAAAGTAAATAATGTAAAAGTAGTTAAGAAATTTGCAATCAAATTAAATGGTAATGCTTATTGTTAACGAGTTATCTGGTAAAAGAGTATTTAATATTTTTAATAATGCTTCTATCTGTTTAATCAAACATATTTTTTTTTTAAATGTTCACTTTGTTTGATAAAGGTGAAAAGACATAAGAGAACATTTTCATTTGAAGAAGAAAAATACTAATTACACATCATATTTTTATTCACATATATATGGATTTATTGTTTCTCATATCGTAAGAGATAAATTTATCTCCTACAATGTAACATGAAAAACAATAAATCATATATATATATATATATATATATATATATATATATGGAAAATTAAATCTTATGTCATAGGAATTTGATTTTTTTTCTCCAGCTCTCCCATCGAAAATAGCGCTGCATGTTTTCTATTTTTTTTTTTCTCAGGTGGGACCCCCAATTTTCTATGTCTGCTGGAATAGAATTCTTATAATGCAACGTAAGAATTTCATTGCCCATATATATATATATATATATATATATATATATATATATATATATATATATATATCTCACAATTTTTTATATAATAGAATCAAAATATAGGTATAATGAAAATAAAATAAATTTAATTTTAATATGTGAATTAGCAATTCCATATAACATCATTATTTGGGAAATGTTCCCACTTGAAGACTATGTTTCATTGACTGACACGAGACACGAGATACGACACGACACTCCGACACGTTAATTTTAAAAAATGTTAAATTTTGACACGTTAGGACACATTTTGATATTATATAGTATTTTTAATTGATGTAGTGTATATTATATTTAATATTCAATAATTTAACAAAAAAATAAAGTTAAACTCATAATACTCATAAATTTTACAAAGAAAAGTAAGATATCCTAAATGTTTATATTAAATTTAATAAAATAGTAATCATAATCCAACGAATCTAATAGTTGAAACTCAAAAGACAACGCAACGTAACTTTTGAACCTTTTTTGACTCTTTGCAATGAGTATTGGAGTGTCGGGAAGTGTCGGAGAGTCGGTGAGTGTCGGACACGACACGTCAGAAATTTTGAAGTGTCGGTGCTTCTTAGCTTGAAGATAATTCGTTTTGGTTTGTTGGCCAAGTATCATATATATATATAAGTATACAATTGATAAATTCCTATTCATATCTATTGAAGTATTATGTTGGGGTTGGTTCAAGTGATACGTGATTGATTCAGCTTATATAAGTAAGGTTTTTGGTTCAAGTTCTTGTAATGAAAAAAAAATATTTTGACAGAACTAACTCTATCATGATGTGGATGTTGTGACTAGAACATAATTGCCTCTCCTGTAGTATATGTGTAATTTATAAAAAAAAAAAAAAAAAAATTTACGTTGATGCCCGGAAAGGAAAGAAAAAGGAAGAGACGCGTTAACATGAAAATGGAATATTTGGCCATGACCATTGGAGAACCTTTTTAAAAACTCTCAATTATTTTTCTCCATAGAATCTCTGTTCCAATCCCAAAGGGCAAGAAGTGGTTGATTTGCGTCCCCACGATATAGATAATGAAGGCCTGCAAGGAAACATATGCTATAATGAGACTGAAGAGACCAATCGATCATCATAGAGGAGAGCTATGGAAACCAAACAAAACAGGGTTTTGTATGTTTATTGAGCAGCAGGAGCTTTTCATGCAGAGTGCGCACGAGGGATAATCACTCTTCCTCAGTGGCCACTTTGTTGTTTTCAAAGCCATATAGCATCTTTATAATTCTATGAATCTATCGCTCTCCACGCTAGTCTTATAATTGGTACCATGGGAATTCAGGGACATGATATCATGTACAGCTTCTAAAATCCATTCATAGACAAATCAACTCATAGATAGTGAAAAAAATGTAAACCTTAATTTACCTATAAATTACCTAACTTCATCTTACATAACTATATAAGTGCTTCATATTACATGAGAGGATTATTTATGTTGGGTATTACTTATACTTCGTGATGACCCTTGTTGACGGGATGTGATGAAAAAAACCAGTAGGGATCCATGAAAAGATGCTATTACTCAAGATTTCTAAACCTATTTATATTGCTCTAATAAACTGAGTTTTATAATGAGTACGATAAGAAAATATAGTGCATATTACTATACGAAGCTCACTTTGGTAAATTTGTGTCTCCACTTATCTTTTCTTTCTCTCTTTTTAATTTGCAATTGTGTGTGTGAGTGTTTCAACTTACCACTCACTCACTCACTGTTCAAAATTTCATAGACACTTAAAGATCATCAATCTTCCCGCGTCCCATGGCAATTCTTGTTACTCCATGCATGAACCATCACTTTCTAGTTTCTGAGGCTAAAAGCCCCCTATATTTCTGCACCACATGTGAAAAGCAAAGTGGACCGGTTAGTACTAATCCGTACTTGCCCTCTGGTGGGTTTATTTATTTCCATGATTATGCTATTGCTATCAAATCAAGGTAACGAGAAGACAAAATCCCGCGTTTAATCAAAATATATAGTACCTAGCTTTTATATTTATTTTGCGGGATAATTTGGATATGTTACTTGCTCAATAATTGTGTGCATACAGCTCACAAATTGGCTAGAGAATTGAAAGAGAATAAAGGAGGGAGAAGAAAGAAGAAATAATAATAGTGATAAAAATCTCACATATGGGAGAAATTATTGCATTATTAAGTTAATATAA